TGACCACCCTGACACTGTGCACATCAGGTGAGATACCACCCACCAGGGGGCGTGCTGACCACCCTGACACTGTGCACATCAGGTGAGATCCCGCCACCAGGTGGCGTGCTGACCACCCTCACACTGTGCATATCAGGTAAGATCCTGCCCACCAGGGGGCGTGCTGAGCACCCTCACACTGTGTACATCAGGTAAGATCCCGCCCACCAGGGGGCGTGCTGACCACCCTCACACTGTGCACATTAAGTGAGATCTGGCCAATCAGCCTCCCTCCCTTCCCTCTTTCCATTCCCTTTTATTTCTTCTCCCCTCACTCCCACTCTGCTTGTGTTTTGTCATTCCTGTGGGCATTGTAGTTGTTTATACATTGGTTTCATATTAGTATTTAGTACATTGGATTTTTTTTTCCATTCTTGAAATACTTTACTAAGAGGAATTTGTTTCAACTCCATCCCAGTAAACACAAAAGATCTAAAGTCTCTATCTTTTCTTATGGCTAAATAGTACTCCATGGTGTACATATACCACAGTTTGTTAATCCATTCCTAGGTTGATGGACATTTGGGTTGCTTCCACAACTTGGCGATCTTAAGACAGTTTTGTGGCTCAGTGCATTCAGCATGTTTGATAAAGAAAACTCCAACTGTAATAAATTGATGTATCTATTTTGGTAGTCATCACCTTCTTGGTCTGTTTTATCACACCATTTCCCTCCTCATGCCAACTCTGAGAGTTTTATTTCTGTTAAGTTATTAATATTTATAGATCACATATATACCATTTGAACTGTTCTGAGTGAGAGGTGCTGGGGGAGGGAAAACATCACTGAACACTGAATCACTAAGATTTTTCTAGCATGAGCAGGCAGTTCTTTATGGCTGTGTGAGGAATCTCAAGTGGACAACATGACCGAGGCTTTGAGAATGCAACTTATTCTTAGCAGAAGTAGGGTGTTCCTGGCATGAGTTCCTGTACATAGCTAGCCTTGCACTCTACAACATATATTGTGAGCCCTGCAGAGCTGTTATTATTCCCTAAACTGATAGGAGCTTAGGTAAAAATAATCTGAACTTTGAAGAAAAATTTTATATGCTGGGTGGTGCTTATGGCTCTGGGATTAGGGCACTGGCCCCATATACTGGAGGTGGTGGGTTCAAACCTGGCCCTGGCCAAAAACTGCAAAAAAAAAAATTTATATGCTGTGTAAAAATAGATTTTCCAAAATAATTAATGTATTTTTCATATTTTGGCATTCATGAGCTAGTCACATTGACAGTTAAACTATAGAGTTAAGGGCTAAGTGTGGTTATTCACACCTGTAATGCCACCCTTTTGGGAGGCCGAAGTGGGTAGATTGCTTGAGCTCAGGAGTTTAAGACCAACCTGAACAAGAGCAAACCTCGACCCCATATCTAAAAATAGCCAAACATTGTGGCAGGCACCTATAGTCCCAGCTACTTGGGAGGCTGAGGCAAGAGAATCATGTAAGCCCGAGAGTTTGAGGTTGCTGTGAGCTATGACACTACAGCACTCTACTCAGAGTGAGAACGTGATACTCTGTCTCAAAAAAAAAAAGGTGGGGTTAAAGTATGACTTTTAAAAATTTATAACAGAAGCGATCCTTATGCAGAAACTTCTGTGAACTTTTACAGTCATTTTCAAATCAGAAAGTATTGAGTCTCTAATATGTGTATTTGATAACATTAGCTACACTCTAGGAAGAATTTTCTGTGTCTCTAAAGCTCATTTACCATCATATCAACAATCAGTAGTTAAGTTGTAGCTCAGTGTCTAATCATGAGAATGTGTTGTTATATTACCTCTCAACACAGATATGGAATTTGCTAGAAAAAACAATTGATCTTTTTTATCTTACCATCTTTATAAGCTGCAACCAGTCAGCTGATAAGGCTATAGGCGTAGCTTAAATCCCTAAGGCAGCCTGCTGGCATAGGCCAGGTCTTTGGCCAGAATACCCCCATTCTGAGCTAACCGTTCACAAACGTCTGCTCTAATTCTCCAGGGTGACAGGGGTGGAAGATGGGGTAGTGAGCAGTCACAGTGTCTCTCATGTGAAGAGTAGCACCTGAGGTATGATTAACTCAGGATATATGACAAGAGGCTTTTAGGAGGAGACAGTGGGCTGGCAGCAGAGTTAGCTTGCATTGTTGAATAAGATGAAACTCAAATGCATCTCTGTGAATAGTGACTCATCGGTGTCTTGTTGTAGTTGCTCTATTAGGTTCTTTTAAACATATCTTAACTGATAGTCACACATGATCACAGTTTCAAGTTTCTGCTTTATTCCAACCCAGGTACTCCACGAGGAAACCACAATTCCAGGAACAGATCTGAAACTTTCCTATCTGAGTTCCAGAGCTGCAGGGTACAAGTCAGTCCTAAAAGTCACCATGACCCAGGCCATCATACCCTTTAATCTCATGAAGGTTCACCTCATGGTTGCTGTAGTAGGAAGACTCTTTCAAAAGTGGTTTCCTGCCTCACCAAACTTGGCCTATACTTTTATATGGGATAAGACAGATGCATATAATCAGAAGGTCTATGGTCTGTCAGAAGCTGTTGGTAAGTTTCTTATACATTTTTTCCACATTGAAAATTCTCTTATGACTTCATATCATAAAATTGTTACCCATGGAAAGTCAGTGGATAAATAAAAAGCAAGTAAATTTGTTCTAGTGAAGTGACAAGCCAGCTGGTTTAGGTCTACCATAGGAAAGGAATATACTGTGTCTGAAAGAAGAAAATACCAGGGTTTTTGGCTAAAATTATAGAGGAATTGTCTCAGTGAGAATTCAGGTTTCCCCATCTTTTTTTCCTCTCAGTGTTTTTTTTTTTATTTTCCTCTTCTTGAATGTGTTTCTTCTTTTTTTTATTTTGTTCTTGTCCTTATAACTTTATCTCCTTTGCTTTTCTTATTCTTTTTTTAAATCTTTTGTACCTAACACTAATGTATAATAGTTTCAACTCATAATGATATTTAAGGGGATGTCAGACATTTGTGTCCAAGAAATATTCCATCACTAGAAGGGCCCCTCCATTTAGGGGAAGCATAGTCTGAAAACATTAAACCAGTTGTTTCAAGGAATGGGCAGTGTAATCAAAGTTTAACTAGTTGAGAAGTAGATAGAGATAGCTGCAAACTTGAACTCAGAACATCAAAAACTAGAAGACAACAGGAGTTGGTTTTATTAGTTTTTATCTGAAAATGTAAGAGACACTCTATTCTGAAATTAATACATAATTTGGACTTGAATTAGTTTAAATCAATCCAGTGGTTGCTACTTCTACCTTCAGTTTTTTTCCAAATATTGAAATCCATGCTCCATTGTGAACTCTGAAAAGTTTTCCATTTATGATTTACTTATGTTAGTTTACTGTTAGTTTATTTTTATTTCTGATAACAATATGTAAATGTAATGTTATAACTGGTCATCTTTTTTTTGTTCCATTGAACCTTATTTATAATAAGTCTTTTCCATCGTTTAATTTTTTTGGAAACTAAACAGCTCTGATTATTCGGGTAGCAAACACTATTTTGAATAGTTATTATCTAGTCCCCATTTGGAGCTTGTGTATCTGATCTAATTACTTTTTTCTTGCCCAATTGGACTTTATTTTGTGTTGGTAACCCCCTGAGAGAGTGATATATGAAAAATAATCTTTTTCTGTTAAATCAGTAGAAAATAATAGTGAGAGTTGTTTTTTAAAAAAACAACTCTTATATCATTAAATCTAATAAATGAGTAGAAATATGATTCAGAACACAAATATGAAATAGGCAATTTTTAATAACATAGTAAAATAAATTGCGCTTCTGCCTGTGATTGAAAAAATGAGCTGTGATTTCTTTGGATCCAGTGTCAGTTGGATATGAATACGAGTCGTGCTTGGACCTGACCTTGTGGGAAAAGAGGACGGCCATATTGCAGGGCTATGAGCTGGATGCCTCCAACATGGGCGGTTGGACATTAGACAAACATCATGTTTTAGATGTCCAGAATGGTAAGGTCTTATTCACGTGGTTCATATTGCTCATCTTCCAGTTCATTAGACTACAGCAACATTTTCTAAAGTCCTGTAGATTAGAATTGGCAGCGAAAAAATAAAGGTATAGGGCAGTCATGGTGGCTCACACCTGTAATCCTCACTTTGGGAGGCCGAGGCAGGTGGATTGCTTGAGCTCAGGAGTTTGAGACCAGCCTGAGCAAGAGCAAGACCCCATCTGTACTAAAAATAGAAAAACTAGCCAGATGTGGTGACAGGCACCTGAGCCTGAAAGTTTAAGGTTGAGCCTGGAAGTTTAAGGTTGCTGTGAGCTATAATGCCATGGCAGTCTACCCAGGTTGACAGAGTGAGACTCTTGTCTCTAAAAAAAAAATAAAGGTGTATTTTTAAAAACTATAAAAGCCTTAAGTGAGAACTATATAATACTGCTTTAATATACTTCAAAATGCATATATATACACATACATATATTTTTCCAAGCAGAAGCTTGAAACAGAGTAGTTTATTGAAAGATGAAAGAGATAGACAAGTGATAGAAGGGGAACAGAACCTCCAGCAACAGAGAGGGGAACCCAAATGGGAAGCTGGAAAATGTTCACATACTCATTGCCAAAATGGTTTTCCCATTAGAATGTAAGGCACTGACTTTGGTGTTGCAATGAAATATTCACCAAAGAGTGACTAACTCAACAGTGAATCAGTGAGCATAATCCAAACTACTTCAGAAAGGTTTAGCAAAAATGGAGGGAGGTTTTGGGGGGGGGGGTTTAATATAAATAAAAAATAAACATCTAGGCTTGGCACCTGTAGCTCTGCTACTAGGGCGCCGACCACATATATTGGGGCTGGTGGGTTCGAACCCAACCCAGGCCTGCCGAACAACAATGACAACTACAACAACAACAACAAAATAGCCCAGCATTGTGGCAGCACCTATAGTCCCAGCCACTTGGGAGGCTGAGGCAAGATAATCACTTAAGCCAAGAGTTTGAGGTTGCTGTGAGCTGATGCCATTGCACTCTACCAAGGGTAGAGTGGGACTCTGTCTCAAAAAAAAAAAAAAAAAAACCTATTTGAATTTGCCAAATTATTTCTAATATACTTTTAATTTTTAGGTAATCTAGTCCAAGTATCTAGATTTTTTTTCATTTCTGCTTAGACTTTATTCAAGACTAAAACAGTCTCTCATTCAAATAGAGTTACAAATACTATTACTAGACTTTGTGAATATTGGGGGGGAAATAAACTAATAATCTGAGCAAAAGGCAAGATCAAAAGTAATAGACCTGATAATGTGATAAGTGATTATGCTCTGAATGATGTCACAAAGTAAAAGAAATAAATATTTGTGAAATTATGACCAGCTTAATCTCAAAAAGAATATTATTTATATTAAACAAATTCTGTTGTCTTTACTATGTTTCTACCATGTTGCCCATATATAAGTGCATCTCAGATAATTTAAAGGTGTTTTGCTAAGAAAGCAAAACTTTAAGGTAACCTAATTTAGCCTTTTGTCCAAAACCACATCATACTAGTATCTCTGGTTTTCCTTTTTCAGATATCCAAAGCAGGAAATAGCTCGGTGTTGGCAAAATAATCTAGCTTTTGATTTTGCAGAGGTTTTTGGAAATACAGAAATGAGCATGGAATACAGCTAAATGTTTAACTATGATTAAAGTGTTTAACGATGAAGTGATTAATGGTCACTTTTTCAGATTAACGTTGCTTCATTGTTCATTCCTTTTTTAAAAAATTGTTGATCTATGATACCACAGGTCTCTACCCACAGTGACAAAGCGAGACTGTCTCAAAAAAATAAACAAATAAAAATAAGTAATTTTTGAAAATAAAAAAAATGGTTGTAAGTGTTGGAAACGATGCCTTTTAACCTTCCAAATATACTCAATCTAAAGTAGTTTGCAACCCAAGCCAGTGCTTGAAAATGCCGGTGCCTTACACCTCCAGGAGATGATAGTGCTGAGCACATGAGTAATAAGGAAAATAAAAAACAAAAACTCATCACACCTTCACTATTTTACAGCAGCACTAAGTTCTACTACCTTTGCATATTTGTCCTGGATATCAGGATATACATGAAGTTTGCACCTCAAAAGGTTGAGAGCAAAGCTGATAACTAGAGCCACATCCAGCACACACTGAAACTCACACCCAGGAGTCGTCAGTAGTGTCTGAAGTGCTGGTACTTTCAGTCTGTTTTGTTAGCATAAGGCTTAAGCCTAGTCTCTCAAAGTGCAAAGCCATATTCCACATATGCTAATAGCTGCTCTTGATTAATTCACAGCAGAACCGCTGTAGCTGACCCTACACTCACCACCTCCTTAGTTGTAGACTAAGTTGACGTAGTTTTCATAGACCCGACATACACCTCATGGATGTCAAGTACAGCAGGCCCAGTTCCTTATGGTGACCACCTCTGTGTGTTGAGCACTTTGTTACAGTCCCTGGCATGGTCAACTTACAGAGCTTCTACTGAACTTAAAATTATATTTCACGCAGTTTGAACATATTTTCTGGATTTCTTCAGCAAAGCTAGAGAGCATCTGTAGGTGCATTTTAGTGCTGTAATGAGAAATGTAGGGCAAAGTTCATACAGGTTCATAACCAGGAGATTATGAACCAGCAGGGAAAAGACAAGTAAAGAGGTCCAGAACAGCCTGTGGCTCTGTAAATCACCGTTGTGACAATACCCACAGACTCATATTTAAGTGGATTAGGAAACTTGTAGATATTCTATGTACATGTAATATAAACATATGCACACACATGTACACCCACATTCTAAACCAGAGCAATAATATAGTTAGGTTTTATTAAAATATCAAGTCAGATGTCAAAAGTAAACTACCCCAAATTTTGCCCTCTAAAAAATATTAGAAATTATAAAATACATGTTATTTTTAAATGGTAACCTAAGTCCTAGGGTTACCCTTGTACAGATTGTAAATGGATTGTGATTTAGAATTGTATCCAGGAACAGTGTGACAAGTAGTGGCTTTCCAAAGTGACATGTGTCTGATTGAATAAACAAAGTGATTTATAATCCTGGCAAGGTGACTGAGCTATAGAAATGAATGAAGGAAGAAGAAAAAGCAAAAGTGTAGACAGTGACGGGTGCTTGTGCCCACAGCCTGAAACATGGAAACAAATACTCCAAGGTTCACCTTTCTGTTTCTGTGCTGTCCTAATAGAGAAGAATCACAAATGGCCCAATTGTTCAAAGTAATGACTGAACCAATCAGGTGTGCTAGAGGGAGGCAGGCTGGTAGGGTTCTTCTGATGAAAATTACAGAACTGGCTCTTACAGGAAATTATAGTTGCATAATTGTCAAATAACGTAATCACAGAAAGAAGAATCTTAAGTATCATTAATGCATTCTTTGAATATTCAAGGCAAAATGCATTTCATCTGTTCTTATGATCCAGCTTATTGAGATTATTTTTCCTTAAATTTGCATAAACCTGTTTAATGTTTCCTGATTTCTTTATGTAAATTTTGCTGTGATTATTACATCACCCAAATAGCAAAGCATTAAAAAGTCATCACAGAATGCACCTAAAATGTGCTGAGCTATAAGGAGAACATAATTATTCTAATCTCTTCTTCATTTTAAAGTTATCCCAAAGTGGGGAGAAAAATACTTCCTCAAGTTCCCGTTTGTATTTTCATGGGATTATTCCTTAACAGTGTATCTGCTGAGGTGTGTAGTCAGTAGCTCTGAGAGCTGCTTTGAAACACAGAACATAAAATAAATATATGTACCTGTAAAGTCAAAGCAGCAGGTGGTTTATACAGATAGTAACACCTTGAAAAGTATCATAAATACATACGGAACAGTAGCCACTGATAACCCAGTGTACATCGGACCAAAATGGGGCCATCAATCTATCTATAGTAATGGTAAAGTAAATAAAATTAGAATCTCAACTCAAATGTAATTTCTTATTATGAAAATATTTAATATTCATTTGGCATTTTTTTTCTCAGACCCCACTGAAGACCATACAGGAAGAGATTGGCATTTTGTCTTGGTAACAATTATTAGCACTTAGGAATAACCACCACGTGTATGCATCTTACAGAAGATAAGAGTCTAAGCAAAAAGGACATTCTTTGACAGTAGAGTTAAAATAAGCCTCCATTATGATTAACACCTTTGGAGGTTTGATATGTATTTTCTGCCTTTGTTTTCCATAAAATATTTTTAACTTTTCAAAATTAATGATAAATTCACCAGGAAGAAATGTACATTTCTGGAGCACATTTTTTATTAATTAAATTGTAATATTTTCAACATTGATTAACAATTAGGCAAACTTGTTATTTCCTAAAGAATATTATGTAGTGTACAGTTCTCAAACTTGGTTACACATTAAGATCACCTGGAGAGTTTTTCTTTTTAATTTCAGTACCAAGGGTAAAAACCAGGCATCAGGACTTTTTACAGCTCCCCCAGAAGTTTTGCTGTATAGCCAATATTGATAAATGCTGATGTTGAGAATTCAGGTTCTTAATTTTTCCTGTTAGTCCTTTCTTTTATTAGACATATTCTGAATTCATAACAGCACTTTTTGTAGATACATGTATCCTGTGTACTTGAGCGTGTCATGTTTTACTCTGGGTAATTAGATAGAATTCTTTCCAATAAATCTTTAAATAGAAATGTCCCAATCCTGGGCAGTGCCTGTGGCTCAAGGAGTAGGGCTCCGACCCCATATAGCAGAGGTGGTGGGTTCAAACCCAGCCTCAGCCAAAAAATGAAAAAAAAAAGTCCTAATCCAAATCTAAAAGGCACTGCATTGTAGTTAGATCTGTAACAAACTTGTTTACTTTTTATCTTTACACTTTGTCCCATGCATTTTATTTCTTCTAGGCATACTGTACAAGGGAAATGGGGAAAACCAATTTATCTCCCAGCAGCCCCCAGTTGTCAGCAGCATCATGGGCAACGGGCGAAGGCGCAGCATCTCCTGCCCCAGTTGCAATGGTCAAGCTGATGGCAACAAGCTCTTGGCCCCAGTAGCGTTAGCTTGTGGGATCGATGGCAGTCTCTATGTCGGGGACTTCAACTATGTTCGGCGGATATTCCCTTCAGGAAACGTAACAAGTGTTTTGGAATTAAGGTATGTCCTTAAATTTGAGAATTTAATCAAAACTAAACCTACCTATCTTTTTTAAAAAGTTGAATCTGATATTTCCATATTTAAATATACCTTCTCAATGTTTAAAATTCTACCCAGAAAGAAGCCAAATTCTTGGGCAGAGTTAGAAGCATGACATATATATATATTGTACAATAACTATCAGCAGGGACCAGTTCACTGTCCCTCAGACCATTGGAGGGCCGGACTGCAGGCCCGGGACGAGTTAGCTGCTAAGCAGGACAGGCAGCAGCAGCAAAAACACCTGGCAGGCTGGATAAATGTCCTCAGCGGGCTACATGTGGCCCGTGGGCCATGGTTTGAAGACCCCTGCAGAAGAAGTCTGTGATACAACTGTCATTCTTTTATTTCATAGCAGTTGAAATTAAGGCATAAAATTTATGTTCCTATGATATGTTCTGATATTAAATAAACTAGGGCTAAAACTTACAACAGAGTATTGTATCTTCAAGTTGGGTTAATCCATTAGCTATAATGCCAGAGTGAAAGTAACATTGTTTACTGTCTTTGCTTTGTTCATTTAAGTGTGATTATCAAAATCATTATCTTCTCTAAGTTTATTTGGTAAGTCTTGGCATACAGATTCATTTCTGGTGTTATTTCTGCTGAAGTTGGCAATTTTCCATACAAATAATTAAAATATCAGAATTCAACTTGTTATATTCTAGAAACTTTTTCTAATTGTGCTTTTTTTTCTTTTTTATCTGCTTCCACCAAGAAATAAAGATTTTAGACATAGGTAAGCATCTTGCTTAAAGGTTATCATATATTTTCAAATGTCCTTTTTTCATTTCAATGTGACTCTCTGAAATTGTTTTCTAATAACATTACATAGTGAGAGGAAACTGAGAATCACAGAACATAAAAGGAATGAAAACTGCTTCATTGAACTGTTATTATATATCACAAATTGTATTATGAAATATAATTTGAGAAATATTTTCAAGGTGAGTCATAAAGTAAATTTTGTTACAAAAAGGCATTATAATAGGTATCACTGTATAACCAAAAAGATTTCTATGCTCCAGTTACTGTCTTATACAATCTAAGTCAATATTGAAAGAACAAAATTTTGAAATACAGCAGGAAAGTGTCAGAAGGCCTGTATAATTTGACTAATATCCAGGACAGCTCATGTTTAATTGAGCTTATTCAATTTGAAAGGCTCTGTTTAAGAAAAAGAATCTAAAATTATTTTACTTTGGCAAGTTAAAAAAAATATGTGTGTATATATATATATAACTAGTTATAGTTATGTGATCCAAAACCCTTCATTGAGCTTAAGGAACCCATGCAAATGAGAGTGAGAAGCTTATGCTTTGTCAGCTTCCTGGCAAATTTATCTCTGCTTATACACATAGTTTATATTTTCCTGATTTGGAAGAGTTACTAGATTGCAGTAGTGATATTGTCATTACTGTTATTATGGAGGGAAAGACTTTCTTCCTAGACAAAAGGAATACGGTTGAAGCAAATATATAGGCTCAAAGGTTTTTCATCTTCTATTTGCTGTATTCACTTAGTTGAGGAAAACACAGTAGAGGCTTGTATGGACACATTGAACTGAAAATTCTTCCTAGGGACCAATGTTTTAAAGGAAACCTAGCAAAAAGCAGGATGATCTAGTTTAGCCATTGAAGCAGCAAATGAAATGATAAATTACAAAATTAATCATGTTTTAAGTGAGATCTTTTAAATTAATAAATCCACATAACCCGTTTAAATTACTATGCAGAGATGGACGACTAGCAAATAAAAAGCCAAGTTCTGCTGAAAGATGTATGGCCGTTGTATATCAGAGTGACCAAGGATGGCCAGTGACCTTTCCTTCAGATCCCTTATTGATCTTGTACTTTTAGCTAATAGCTCGGTCACATGCTAAGATGCACTCTAAATCTCTCCAGAATACTAAGCACTCAAAAGTCTGCTTTAGACACCACAGTAGAATATTTAAGAAAAAAAAAGTCTAGACTTGCTTTCTTGGTAAGTTGTAGAGAAAAGAGGAAAGAAAAAAGTACGCACACCAGGTAAATGGGAAAATGCTGCAGGCAGTACAGAAAAGACTATCAAAGCAGCTACCTTTCAAAGCAAGCCAGGCACAGTGCCACATATTTTATATATGTTACTGCAGGTCCACACACACCCCTTCAGGGTGACAGATGAGCTCATAGGAGCTCAAGGAAGTCACCTGTCTTTCCCAAGACATACAACTAAGACATGGGGGAGCAGAGATTTGAACACAGCCAGTGCTTGTATGCCCACGTGGGTAGGTTTCCATGGGGGTCATTCCCTGGGTAAGCCAAAAGCTGGACTGATTTCACAACCATTTTCCAAATTATTTAGAGCCATACTCTCTTTCTTCAAAGAAAAAATATTATAAGAAACTGCATTATTATCAACAGTATTTTATAATGTCAGCTCATTACATGCTAACGGTGTTTCGCAGAGATGCTAACTGTAATCCCTCTCTCACAGTTCTCCATAGTTATGTACCAGGCATGTAAATACGCCATTTGGGTTTTATGTTGATATTCATTTGTATTAAATCCATCCATGTTAACTGATCACTTACCATGTGCAAGACACGTTGACAAATAGACAAGAAAAAGTTCCCACCCTTAGAACTCACAATCTAGTGGAGGAAACAAGGTATATATATGTGATGACTGAATGGCATTATCAGTATCCCTCTTCAATGCTCGCTTAATCATAGCCATGGCTTAGAATGTAATTCCACAGAGGAAGAGATTGCTGGGAGATGGGAATGTTATGAGGGAAATTTTCCCTGGAAGGGTTGCTATTTGAGCTAGGTCTAAAAATGAGTCTGCTTAAACGTAAGAGTGAGAAGAAAGGAAGGCACTATGAGAAAAAGAATATAGAGCAACTGGGAATAAGACCTGCAAGACAGGTGCTAAAGGTAATCAGAGCTGCCTGAATGTGACAGAGGATTCATGGTGGTGGTAACAAGAAATACAGGTAACAAGGCCAGTGAAGGTCAGATTGTTTCAGGCCTTGAGTGCTCTAAGAATTACCATTTTGTCCTATAGAATAACTAAGACACTGGGGTCCCATTGTGGGATATTAATTAAGTAGCAGACTCAAAGAGGTCTTATAGGAAGACTAATCTGATATCAGCATTCAGGGTGACTTGAAGATAAATTGGAAAGTTGTTGCAGAGAACACAAAATGAGCTGGTTAGTGATGAAGGAAGTCAACCAATGAAATAAAGGAAAGCGGAGAATGGAGAATGTATGGGTGTTAGGAAAACATAGAAAACATTCAAGGATTTTGAGACTGAATCACCAAACAAGATGATGAAATCTTTAGTAAAAATAAGGGTTCTGTTTGCTTAATAAATAATCAAATGTGTCCTGAGAAAACCAACATAATTTAGCTCACTGTAGCTTCTTTCTTCATCTTAAAAAATTAAAATCCTTTTCTGATTCTTCTCCCTATTGCTTGTCTGTAATCATCTTCCTTTTACTAGTTAATTAATAGGATCCTGCCCGCTCTTACCCTTGCCCTCACTTTCTTAGGTAGCATAAAAGTCATGAGAGTAACAGGTCAGAGGAAGAAAAATAAATAGAAATTGTGTCTAAATCTATAGAAAGAATGGTATTGTCAGTTGTTAATGATTAAGTAAAATATAAAAACACATGCTTTGGATCCTCTCTGTATTTCATATACTGTAGACTCATTAATTGGACAAATTGGGGGGATATTAAAAACATTGAGAGAATATTCTGTTATACCCAATTAATAAGTACTGCCAGGATTTTCTATAAAATAAAATTCTTTTAACTATGTTAGGCAGTTAGCTAAAGATGAGCAGGAAAGATGATGGATATGGTTGGGCTATTTTGGATGGTTTTGTGTCAAGCTGACTTGGCCTATTATAGGAATGAAGCTGATTAAGATCTTACAGGTAGGTTGCTTTGAAAACAGTTAATTAAATCCCAGGGAGCCCCCCCCAAGAAGCAGTTGATACTCATCAAAGTTGTGTATAAAACCAAAAACTGTGCTTTCCACAGAGTATGTAGTCACTAGGATGAGGCCCAGCTTGCTGTGCAGGTTGTTAATAAGCTTTGTTTTTCTTGCTGAAAGTCTAATTGATCTCTTCAATTCTGGTGACTGCTTCCAGCCACTGTACTGCTCTAACAGCTATACTTTAATTAATATTTAATTATATGATATTTAAATAATAGAAGTATTACTTGATCAGCATTTTAAATTTTTACACAAATGGACCTTTCATGATGCTTTAAAAATGTTTCTTTTAGTTATGCTAAAAGTTATTTCCCCATGATGTTTATAGTATCAGTTTGCTAACACATCCCTTTAATTGGTAGTAAATGTTACCTCATTCTTGTTCCAAGTCTTGCAGATTCCAAAATAAAAACTTAAATTAACTAACACCAGCCAAGGAGCATTTAAACATGCAGCACTAAAAATCAACTATATGAATTTTATATTACCAAGTAAAGGATCAAATAAGGTGTCGGTCACAGGTCTGTGAAATTGAATCAGTTAAAGTTTAGATGCAAAATTATAAAAACTTGAAGTTCAGCACTGCTTATTGACTTAATATTTAAAAATCAAGTGGAGACAGAAGCACCACACATTCCAAGTCCCTGTATGCAGTTATCCAAACAATCTTCTGGTTACCATAATAAGATAGGCAGTTTTACTTTAATATAGGGTATTCATAAGGTTCATGTGCAACTGTAAAATAGTTGCAAATTTTAAATTACACATGAACTTTATGAACACCCTTTTAAATACAATTTACTATATTTCTATAATTTACTAATTACTGTGCTTTCCATTCTAAGGGCCATGGCACAATTCGCACTTAAAAAGATTTAATTGCTGATAATATCTGTTCTGTGACTTGTTTTGTATTTCTCTAGTCTGAGAAGGGTGAATTATAGCAGAATAAATGAGAGATCCCAGTCTGCGCTTACCACTGAATCTGTTTCTAATTGAACAAAGCTGTAGAAGTGGTGGTTTTTGCTTTTGTTATTTGCTGTTAGCTGAAATTGTAATATTTTCCAACCTTTCTGAAATGGCCATCCCTTACCCTAGCCTGGAACCAGCTGCTCCCAGTTCCATTCTCATGCAAGACCAACTACTGATGTAGGAAAACAACTGCCCACTTGCATCAACACACCAGCCTCCTTAGTGCCTTGACTTTTCAGGAAGCTGGAGAGTGAGGATTAGCTCAGCGAGTAACTTTGAATGCCCTTCCTATTGCACTAATGAGCCAGAGCCTCTCTGCAACCTGGATGTCAACTAAAAATTTCCAGACTCACATCTTCTTCTACTATTTGCATTCTGACCCCTCTTTTCATTTAGGACAGGCCAGGCTCTGAGAACCAGCTGCAGGGAATTGAGCCTGTTCCATTTCCTACACTCTTGCGGGATATTTTCCGAGGCTAATTCTCTTCTCTAGGGCCGTGTGTCCAACTCACATTTTCCTTCTGGATGATAGAGTTGTGTGTACAATTAAAGCTTCCATTTGGTGGACATGTTGAAAGTCATTGATACATGTTGCTTGATTGAGAAACGTCCTTGGCTATGGCTATACCACCCTGAATGCGCCCGATCTTGGCTGAGAAATGTCCTTATCTTCAAGGAAGGAGATGGATGGCCCAGGATGTGAAATATGTCAGCACCACTTTGGAAATTCTCTTATTACTAGCTTGCAAGAATAAAAGTAATGCCAATAAAGGCAAAGCTGTAACTTGAATGTCCATTGTTTTCTTTTTTAACCAAGGAAGCTCATGTCCCTTGGCTGAAAAGGATACCAACACCCCTCAAACTGCCACCTGAAAGATTGGTTTGCTTGTTTTTTTCCTCAAAATAAAAACATCGTGAAGAAGTGTGCATGATTCATGTACTTAGACCAGCATTGCTCTTTAAACTATTTAAAATGGATCTTTTAAGATGAATCTGCTTTCTTTTAATAGTTTAGGATATTATAAACTACTGTTGTAACAGAAGAAATAAGAAAATAAATTTGAACCTATCCAAGTGTTATAGATAATTTTTTTCTTTTATTACCCTTTTCATCATTCAGTTAACAATAATTACTGCATTCATACACTTTATAAGGTTGTAAGGCAAAATACATATTGCACTGTAAGAGGAAAAAGGACAAAAGCAAATATTAAGGATATTTCATTGGGCTAAGCGAGGTGCCCCACACCTGTGATCCCAGCGCTCTGGGAGGCTGAGGCAGGTGGATTGCCTGAGCAAGAGTAAGACCCCATCTCTACTAAAAATAGAAAAATTAGCTGAGCATTGAGGTGGTCACCTCTAGTCCCAGCTACTCAGGAGCCTGAGGCAGGAGGATTGCTTGAGCCCAGGAGTTTGAAATTTTCTGTGAACTATGATGATGCCATGACACTCTAGCACAGATGACAGAGCAAGACTTGGTCTCAAAAAAAATAATAATAAACACTCATTTTTACAGGGTATAGTACGTCTTAGGCTCTGTTCTAAGGATTGCACGTATATTCATGTAATCCTCTCCACATGCTGTGTAATTTCTGTTATTGTTATCACCTTTACAAATAAGGGATCTTAAGTACAAGTGAGATGGGTAATTTGCCCAAGATTACACATTTATAGTAAGTTATAAAGCTAGGACTTAAACCCAGGCAGCCTGGTCCAGAACCAAGCCTTATACAAGTGACAAGGAAAAAAGTGGGGGGGGGGGAGTGTGTGTGTGTGTGTGTGTGTGTGGCGCGCATGCACACTTAACCAACTATGCAACTATTGGTAATTACCGTCTAATCAGGGAGACAGGCAAGGCTAAACAACCTCTCCAGTATACCCAGTTGGAGTAGCTATGACTCTTCAGGTATGTACACTTGAAAGACCGGCTCTGCGAGTGTCCGACTATTTACAAAAAGGAAAAAAAGCCTCTGTAAAATCCCTCTGAGTGTTACATTACTATGCAACTCTTCACTTCATTACAAAGTAATACACTACCACATTAAGGAATAGGATGTCTTGCTGCATTTAAAACTTTAGGTATCAACTTCAGAAAATACTCTAACAACACTTAGCGTTCCCAAGTTGATGGTTTCCCATAGCCCAGTATCTCTGAAGTGTTTTATTCCATAATGACTTGCATTTCTCTGAGTTCTTCATGTTACTTTTGCCCTTTTTCACATACTTACACACTCAGGACTGCTTGCTCTATCTACTCTCTTTTTCTTTTTCTTTTTGAGATAAAGTCTCACTTTATCATGGTATCCTAGCTCATAGCAACCTCAAACTTCTGGGCTCAAGCAATCCTCCTCAGTCTCCCAAGTAGGTGGGACTACAGGCACCTGCCACCACACCAGGCTAATTGGGAAGCTGAGGCAGGAGGATCATTTTGAACCCAGGAGTCTGAGGTTGCTGTGAGCTATGCTGAGGCCACAGCACTCTACACAGATAGATAGAGATGATAGATACAGATTGATGCGTGATAGATAGTTAAAGACTCCCTAACAGGAATGATAAATTACATACATTCAGCACTTAAGTAGTGAGAATTGTTTCATTAGAACCTAATCTCATGAGTAAGGAAGAAAGTAGTGCGTCACTATTAGAATCCAAATGTTCGTGAAGAGTTAGGTTCATACTACATCTTTTATGCGTCCATATAAAATAAATGGAAACAAATGTATAACTCTGTATGTACTGACAGGTGCAAAAGGCTTGACTGAAAACTTGGAAGTAGCTGCAGGGACAGGGGAGCAATGTCTTCCACTTGACAAAGCCAGACATGGGGACAGAAGGAAGTGTGTGTGGCTGGTTGTGGGGGAGAGACAGGAGAGAGAACATGAGGATCAGGAACACCAAGCTGGTCATCAAAAGATGCTTGCCGTCCAGTACATTCCTGTCAGTTGACATCTGTGTTGGGGACACCAAATCACTGAAATTATCCTACAATTTTTTTTCCAGAAGGCAGTATTTGCATAAGGTATAAAATTACGTTAACTTTTAAGAACATAGTGTTGAATGTTTATGAGGTGATTTTGTCCATTTCTTGCTAACGTTGGTCTTACCATTTATTACAGGTAATGGGACATAAAATGTTTCACGTGCATTGATTTATATTTATAAAATTGAGGCACTACATTTTGTGAGAAACTGTCTGCATCTCACCAAATCTACAAACAGGTTTCAGAACAGCTCAGCTTACAAACTTTAAAAACAAAACCAATGGATCTGGCATTCTGACTTAACCACATTAGGCCACCGGTGGAGACTAAATGATCTCATTTTAGTATTTAGCTCAGGAGAAACATTATTGACTTTTCTACATTATGATAGAACAACCAAGATGAGCACAGTGCTGCATTTTTCCTGGGGTAGGTTTTCTACTACAAAGACTAAATCCCTATGAAATCAGTAGCATATTCGTAGGAGAATTTGACAGAGACACCCTTTCCCTGGAATAAACTTTTAAGTGTATGTCTCAAGGGCAGTTTATTAATGGCTTTGCATTGAGCCAGAAAGATACACAGAATTTGCATGTTTATTTCAGGAAGACAGATACTGACTTTTAAAGGTAATTTTTAAGATAGCTGTTAATACATTGTTAAATCGTCAGCATCAGACAAGGAAAGAAAACAGCACTGTCAGAGGACTGGGGCCTGTGGTCACGTTCTTCTGAGTCCTTATTAGACAGTACTGCTCATTTTCTGGTTTTTGATCATAGATTCCAGTTTCTAATTCATTTCTCATCTGTTTTATTTTGCTTTTAATTTCCTTCTGAGTCTGAGGGGTATCTCTTGTGATGTTCATGTCTGATTATTTTTACAGCAGCAACCCAGCTCATAGATACTACCTTGCAACGGATCCTGTCACAGGGGACTTGTACGTTTCTGACACCAACACGCGAAGAATTTATCGACCAAAGTCACTGACGGGTGCAAAGGACTTGACTAAAAACGCAGAAGTAGTGGCAGGGACAGGGGAGCAATGCCTTCCATTTGACGAAGCCAGATGTGGGGACGGAGGGAAGGCTGTGGAAGCCACACTCATGAGTCCCAAAGGTATTGGCATTTGCCAATTTGAGGAGTTCTTTTTATTTAACAAAATAAAAACAAAAGGAGAAAATCCAATTAGTGCCTGGTTATATTTAATGCTGAGTCTAACGCTTTGCCTTCAACTGTGTTCCGGAAAGTTGTGTTTTTCGCATCTCATTTTGAAAAGCCATTTAGCATGAAACTGCTAGAATCCTAAGTTGATTTTACAGTAAATACTGGGTTCTTGGCTTTTTTTTTTCATTATCATACCTTTTATTTTCAACTCTTCAAAGAATGAAGCAACAGCTATATATAATTCAAGTCACATTCTGTTAAACCCCAAGGAAGTATCCAAATTCTCTCATTGTCCTGGAATTTCTTCCTCATGAATGAGTCCCAGGCTTCTTTTAAAACCATCACTAAGCAACCCTACTCACCCTCACCCACTTTGGAGCTGTTCAACTTTTGTTTTCTATGCCATGGGAAAAATGGCTTGCAGTGAGAAATATTTGGAGGTGACAGGGGCTAAAATTCTCTGTGATAAAGGCTTTAAACCAGTCAGGACTGACTCCTTGCTCGTTACGCTGTTCATTACGATGATTTTTGGTTTGGGCCCTTCCTTTTTTGTTTTTCATTATAGCTAGTGAGTTTTATGTAAGCGAGGACTAGAAAACGATATTTGCACTGAATTATTCATAATAGCCAATTTCATTGGAACAATGTCAGCAGAACACCAACCTTGGCTTAAATCTGGTTTTGTTAGAAGAGTATCATTACTATAAGTCTATAGAAACACAAATTTTCACATTTTCACGTTTCACATTTTATATAATCTATACTGTGACATTATATAAACATCATTCTTTTATATTTGAAACATACAAGTACTATGTACGGAATTCATACGTACACTCACTGGAGACTCTTACAAATTTAGATTTTGTTATTGATTTGTAAACGTATTTGTACTGTAGGTGCCTGCTTTGGTTTTTGTCTCACACATTTGCAATCTGCACCCCTCCCTGCTGCTTGTAACCTACGTTATCACCAGGCTTAAATGTTGAGTTTAATGATGGGCCGAAGAGTTAAATCAAAACTAATCATTTTGATAAATTAGTAATACTTACTTCTCTCCAATAAAGGAATGGCAATTGATAAGAATGGATTAATCTACTTCGTTGATGGAACCATGATTAGAAAGGTGGATCAAAATGGAATCATATCGACTCTCCTAGGCTCCAACGATTTGACCTCGGCCAGACCTTTAACTTGCGATACCAGCATGCACATCAGCCAGGTGTTTAAAATGTTAAGCTGACCTGTTTGTTTTTCCTGCAGTGACTTGATTTATTATGATGAGTAGATACTATGGCACCATATTAAACTGTGTATGTCATGTGTGGCAGTTGTTATGATAGTGCTGTCCCATTTCAATGTATAAAATGTTATATTCTTCCATAATTCTATGTTTAATGAATTCAATGCAACACAGAACAATTATCGCTAAGAAATGCTAAGTATTAGTAATAAAATACCAATAAAGTAGCAACACAGAGACACTCCAAAAAGAACAAAACAGCTTAAATCTGTAATCTTTTGATTGCATGAGCTCCTTGAGTGGTATAGAGAACCCACTATGATTATTCCCAAGAGATTATATTTAGAATGAAAAGCTTTACTATTGGCCTGATTGAAAACTCAATTGAATACTAACGTATTCATAACCTAGAAAGCCCCAACATTTGGCGGGTATTACTGCTCTAAGGAACATATGTGTTCATATCTCATTAATATCTGTTGACTCACTACGTAGAGGTTTATTTGCTATTTGGCTACACATATAACTAGCAAATCTTTCAATGAGCTGTGTTTTAAAATGAAATGTTAGGCCAGGCACAGTGGCTCATGCCTATAATCCCAGCACTCTGGGAGGCCAATATAGATAGATCCCTTGAGCTCAGGAGTTGGAGACCAGCCTAAGCAAGAGCCAGACCCCATTTCTACTACAAATAGAAAAATTAACCAGGCATGGTGGTGGGCACCTATAGTCCCACCTACTCAAGATGCTGAGACGGGGATCACTTGAGCCCAGGAATTTGGGGTTGGTATGAGCTATGATGATGCCACCACACTCTATCCAGACTGAAAAAGTGAGACGTGGTCTCAAAAATAAAAAATAAATTATATAAATCAATAAAATGAAATGATACTTTCTATATTTATCTCTAAGGATTATTTTACTGTGGCTATTGAAAAACTACTTTATAACATTTTAAGGCTAATTTCCCCTAAATGGTCTAATTTGTTTGCTCTTCTGGCCAGTTAACCTCAGTGCAGTCACTGAATAACCAAACCATTTCTTGTTTTTGTTTTTGTTTTTTCGGTTTTGGGGGGCTTTTTTGTTAAGGTACGTTTGGAGTGGCCAACTGACCTAGCCATTAATCCCATGGACAACTCCATTTATGTCCTGGATAACAACGTAGTTCTACAGATCACTGAAAACCGTCAAGTTCGCATTGCTGCTGGGCGGCCCATGCACTGCCAGGTGCCGGGAGTGGAATACCCCGTGGGGAAGCACGCAGTCCAGACAACTCTAGAATCAGCTACTGCCATTGCTGTGTCCTACAGCGGGGTCTTGTACATTACTGAAACCGATGAGAAGAAGATTAATCGAATAAGGCAGGTCACGACGGATGGGGAGATCTCCTTAGTGGCGGGAATACCTTCTGAGTGTGACTGCAAAAATGATGCCAACTGTGACTGTTACCAGAGTGGCGATGGCTATGCCAAGGACGCCAAACTCAATGCTCCATCCTCCCTGGCCGCCTCTCCAGATGGGACACTGTACATCGCAGACCTAGGAAATATTCGCATCCGGGCTGTGTCCAAGAATAAGCCTTTACTTAACTCTATGAGCTTTTATGAAGTCGCATCACCAACTGATCAAGAGCTCTACATTTTTGACATCAATGGCACTCACCAGTACACCGTGAGTTTAGTCACAGGTGACTACCTGTACAATTTCAGCTACAGCAATGACAATGATATCACTGCTGTGACAGACAGCAATGGCAACACCCTGAGAATTAGACGAGACCCTAATCGGATGCCAGTTCGAGTGGTGTCACCAGATAACCAAGTGATATGGTTGACAATTGGGACAAATGGCTGTCTGAAAAGCATGACAGCTCAAGGACTGGAATTGGTTTTGTTTACCTACCATGGCAATAGTGGCCTTCTAGCCACTAAAAGTGATGAGACTGGATGGACCACATTTTTTGAGTAAGTATGTGAAAATTCTACTGTGATTATGAAATCCTGGGATGCATTAACACAACCTAAGATAATACCATGATTGTAAGGGCTGGGGGAATCTGTGTTAGGGGGTATCAGGAGCTTCTATAATTTTGGGATCCCTCTAAGAAAGAAGATGAAAGTATGAGATGCAAAATTAGATAATGGGCCTTCGAAGGGTCTTATGCCAAGTGAGAATCCTAGAAGCTTAAGTTTTATGAGCTTCATGGTAAATCTATCTCTACTTGAGAATTAACATTTTATTTCAGATAGACATATTAGCAGTAAAAATCTTGAGAAGCATTACATTTTTAGTTTTAGGCATAAATTCTTTGAATTGGGATTTGCATACTTGATAAAACTATGCTGGGAGATTTCATTGAAGAAAAACTTAAGTCTGTATGCAATGGGAAGCCAAGGTGGGTAAGTTGTTTGAGCTCAGTAATTTGAGACCAGCCTGAGCAAGAGCCAGACCCTGTCTCTACTAAAAATAGACAAACTAGCCAGGCGTGGTGATGGGCACCTATAGTCCCAGCTGCTCGGGAGGCTGAGGCAAGAGGATCATTTCAGCCTAGGAGTTTGAAGTTGCTGTGAGTTATGGTGCCACGGCACTATACTCAGGGCAACAAAGTGAGACACTCTCAAAAAAAAGAAAAAAAGGAAAACTTTAAAAATATTTACAATGGATGTTTCTGGTTACATCAGCCCTATGAATGCAAATGTTGTTCTTATCAACAACAAGGGCTTAACTTTTTCTAACCAGTTATTGGAGAAGCTAACCTACACTTAAAAGAATCTTATAACTCAGTGAAAATCAGGAATTACTGGTCGCCATCTGAAAGCTTATAAAAGGTTGACGCCCATTGAGCCAGGATTCTGTTAATGTGTGGAGTAGGGACCCAAGCAGTGTGCTACCTCAACAGTAGCATTTTCTGAGGTCAGTAGCAATGAAATGAAATCAACCACTGTCTATTTTATGGTATGTGTACTTTGCAATGAAAGCA